AAATTAAATATGCGTTATAGAAGTATATAAGATAGGTCAAATAAATATAGCAATTTTTTAAAATTGGAATAGAGTTAGTAATGCATAACTTATAAACCATTGACGAAGCTAAAGCGGGTACATGTTTTATAAAGAGATTTAAAGTATTGAGAAATGTTATTTCCTATGTACCTAATAAACTGCTTTTGTTTTTAAAAAAAATCATTTTGAAGTCCTTCAACATATTCAGTCTTCGATTCCCCAAATATTGCAATTTTGGGTACACACATTGTAAAGTTCTCGTCTAGTAGGGTTGGTCTAACCATCGAAACCTCACCATTGTATTTCATGGGAAGCGTGCGGATAGTTGAACCGCAATTGCCGCAAAATTCCTTTTTCTTTGGGACGCCAGATTTCGTATTACCTACGATAAACTCCCTCAAATATGATTTACTATCCGTGATTTCAATATTCTTCGTGTCGTAATATGATAATATTTGACCTAAATGGCCTGAGCCTTTACGGCAATCAATACAATAGCAAATGAAAGATTTAACTGGCTCACCTTTAAGGCTAATTTTAATCTCACCACATTGACAACCACCTTTAGAAATATGTACTGACATCTTTCAAATATGCGATATATGCTGATATTTCTACTTAGCTTCAGATACGGATGAATATATATATATATCTATACCATGTAGCGATAGCCGTGTTACAACCAAATATGAGGAACTGCAATCCGTAAACAAATTTTCGTCATTAACGGATAAGCAAAAAATCCGGGGGAGGGGTTAAAATTTCGGGAGAATATTCCACTTCATCGGCATATTGTGCCTTCGTTCCATATACACCTCATTTCAGACTTGATTTTGTAAGAGAAATTCTTATGAATATCCATGACTGTTAGGGTTCAATGCCTAGCTCACTGATTTTAAAATTCAAAAATATTGTCGGATTTTATACCGATATCAAAAAATTAAACTTTTCATTTTTAAATGGTCTATTTACAATATATCTATATTTATATACTTTTGATGTTAAATCCAAGAATAAGTTATAATTTTTTTGCTGTTTTCGTGCTTTTTCTTTAAGTACAGAAATATATTTGAAAATCATAACGTTTTAGTTGTAAGGTTAATTTTCAAGGTCTAAATTTTGCAACAAAGCCGCACCAATTCTTTTAAAATAACTACCGGTCAGTTATTACTATATAGAATCATCATAGATACACCAAAGAGGAATGTTATGAACTTTGAACGGTTTCGAATGCCGTTAGGTTAAATTTTAAAAAAAGAATCCGAATCTTGCTATGAAGCTTAAACACTCATTGCAAATGGTAGTATCGGAAATTACAAACCGAAACTTATACTGCGCGGTATTCGCATCCGATAAAAAAGAATCTATATATGTTAGGCCAAACTCCATAAAGCATTTCACTTCTTTACATTAGACTCATAATTTTCTTTTATTCAATCGTCTATCAAATAAAGTATGTTTCAATTAAACGTTATTGTTTGTGGTGGTGGTCTTGGTGGTATTGCTTGCTCTATCGGTTTAAAAAGAAAGGGACATAATGTCACCATTCTTGAAGGAGCATCACAGCTAAATGAGGTTGGAGCTGGTATTCAAATTCCTCCTAACAGTGTAAAAATTCTTAAAGAATATGGAATCTTAGACAGATTTTTACCATACATTACTAAACCAAAGAATATTAATCTCAGAAGGTACGACACGGGTGAAGTTATCAGTCGTACACCATTAGACCCAGACATGACTGATAATTACGGCTATCCATACTTATTAATTCACCGTGCCGATTACATTAGATTATTATACGAAGCAGCTACTGAAATGGGTGTTGTCTATAAGACAAATTCCAGAGCTGTGTCTGTCGACCAAGAGACTGTTACCGTTACGGTTGAAACCGGTGAAGTTTATTCAGCCGATGTTATTGTTGGTGCCGATGGTATTCGGTCTGTGGTTCGTGATACTGCTGTAGTTACAAGTAAAACAGTTGAACCAACCCCTTCTTCCAATTGTGCATTTCGTGCTACTATTCCAAGAGCAGAAATGTTATCGGATCCAATTGTTGCTCACCTCATGCACGATATCAACTCAAATTGTTGGATTGGTTATAGAAGACATGTTATGGCATATCCTATTAGAAATGGTGAGTTATATAATATGGTAATGTCTCATCCTGGAAAAGCTTCTGTTGGAAAGTGGAGTGAGCCTGGCAACCTTGAGGAAATGAAGGCTCATTATCATAACTTTGACCCAATTGTTAGACAACTTCTTACTCATGTCAATTCTGTTCTCAAGTGGGTCCTTGCTGATTTGCCTATGCTTCCACGTTGGGTCAGTGAAAGCGGGAGAGTTGTTATCATAGGTGATGCTGCACATGCTATGTTACCATATTTAGCTCAAGGCGCTGCTCAAGCTATTGAAGATGGTTGTAGGTTAGCCGAAGAATTGAGTAAATGTACATCTAAGTCTGATATTCCATCGTCTCTCAGAGGGTTTGAAAGATTGAGAAAGAAGAGAGCTGATACTATCAAGGCTGGTGCCGCGAAGAACGCCCATATCTGGCATTTGCCAGATGGTGAGGAACAGGAAGAAAGAGATGCCCTTATGAAACCTAGAGATGGGCATAACCCAGACCAATGGTCCGACAGTGAGTTTCAAAGATGGTTATTTGGTTGGAATGCGTTTACTGATTAGAATCAACACATTAAGATAATTAAATTGCAACAGTATGCTAAATAGATTTCAAAACATAATTCTAAAATATATATTATTGCCACCTATTTGTATCTAATTATTTTCCTTATAAAGATTTGTATTTTATAATGCAAATATATAAAACATCGCCTACTTTTATCTAATTCATATTTGCATATATACACATTCCGCTTTATTCGTACCTAATTTCTTGTTTAAGATCATTCTGTTTTGCCTTCTTAGTCATTTTGGACATTAGTAATTATATGCTTAACAGTCTTCAAACTTTTTAGTATCCGGAGTGAGAGAAATCCAGCTTTTTTCGGAGTATGTATCCGGCGGTATAAATATAGTCCGTAAGAATGTGGGGTAGATGGAGAACCACATTGATGTCAATTCAATCGGATATTATATTGACGGCTTAGAATAAACTTAAAAAATGGAAATATATTCCGGTGCTAATGTGCCTTTCCTTTACTCTTGATCGTTAACTATAAAAGAATAGGCACTCTGCTAAATTCTGAATAAATATACGATGAACTACTGCAGTATGTCAAGCTTTACAGATCAAAAATCTGCTTCTGATATTGAAAAGTTAACTTAAGATCATGATGAAACGGTTGAACCTCAAGCTCTTACATCAGAACATCATGATTTTCTTATGAAAAGACATGGGTCTGTCCAATTAGACCCACTCCCATCTAGTGATCCCGCTGATCCATTAAACTGGCCAGATTGGAAAAAAAATTATGAAATCATTTTAATTGCATTTCAAACTTTCAGTAGCACTTTCATGGCTGCTGGACTTACGCCGGCCTACGAACCTATGGCAGAAGAATACGGAATCCTGCCTCATTCAGCCACTTACTTGACATCCGCGCAGATTTGCGTCTTGGGAATTGTTCCCTTATTTTGGGTGCCAATAATGAACGCATACGGGCGGAGACCATTTTTGACATTCTCTGTCTTGGCTTGCTGTGCTTTAAATATTGGAGGTGGTTTTTGTACAACTTACGGGCAACAAATGGCCACTAGGGTATTGTTGGCCTTTTTCATTTCAATCGGCTACTCTGCTGGTAGTTCTGTTGTAGCTGATTTAGCCTTTAGTCATGAAAGAGGTAAAAAGAATGGCTGGTGGTCCCTTGGACTTATTCTAGGTACACCTGGTGGCCCGTTTTTTATGGGATTTGTTCAATTTCATGCTGGAACAAAATGGATATATTTTACATTCGCCATTATGAATTTCATACAATTTGTTTTATGGATATTTTCAGACGAAACAGTATATGTGAGACAAACTGGCATTCATATTACACACGCAAGTAGAAATGGATTGAAGAATTGGTTAGGATTTAACAAAAGGACTGATAAAGATGTAAATTGGAGTATTTTTATAAGGCCATTGAAGCAAGCAATGAACTTTAACGTGGCTATGGCAGTCATAGGAGCATCTGTAACGTTTTGCTATGCAAATATACTTCTCGTTGTTGAAATGCCACAAACTTTTGGTGTTTTATTCAATCTTAATGCTCAACAATTAAGTTTACATTACATTGCACTAATAATTGGATCCGTTATTGGTGAGTTACTTTCTGGCCACGTCTCTGACTGGTGGATGATGATATGCTATAAGAAAAGAGGAGGAAAAAGAGTAATTGTGGATAGATTACGGATATCATATTATGGATATGTTTTTATAGTCGTCGAGTTAATCGTCTGGGGGATTTATTTGAATAAGGTGGAAGAAAACCACTGGAATATTTCACCTTTGATAGGAGCTGCTATTATGGCTGTAGGCAATGATATTATTGCAACTGTTTTGACAGCTTTTGCCATTGACTCACACCCAGAGTATGCATCCGATATTGGTTTATATTTGAACCTAGTCCGTCAAATATTTGGTTTTATTGGACCATTTTACCTTACCTTGATGATCGAGACTCTTTCTTATGCAGGGGCTGCGGGACTAATGATTGGGTTAGTTGTAGTGTTTGCGTTTGGACCTA